TGCAACATTCATGATGGAACCGAAAAGAGATATTATTACCATTACTTGTGTTTCACTTGAAACGAACTATTACTATTATTGTTTGTGGTGATGTGTCTTGCGATGCGATTGGATTTCTTCCCGTCTCAAAATATTGACGTTTAAATTATAACTCAGCTCAAAAACTTTTGTGACAGCATATGGAACGTAGCAAAGTTTGAAATTTCGGTGAATCAGTGATCTTCAAGGTTTAATCACCTGGAAATAATTTCCTGCTATTGGCTTTCCCAATTCGTTTTCGTCGACAAATCTGTGCGTGTCGAAGCTGAAATTTTGTGTAGTTGACTAAAAAGACAATGTATCTGGAAAATATTTTTAAAAAAAAAGAATTCACCTCGCCCTAGCCGTTTTTTCAAGTGAAACTGGTTTTGATTGCTTGTAGACAAGGAAATAGTACCTGTGCAAACCTAAAAAAATAGCTTTCTTGAGGGAGATTACAATGACTGTCCCTCAGTTGATGTACCTGTGCCTGAAGGAGGGTGAGGTCCCATGTAGGACACGAGCTCCTTGCCGTATTTTAGATGACTTCCAGGAACGTCCACAACTACCCAATGCAGATAATCGCGGAGCATCGGCTTTTTTCGAGAAGGGGCGTCTGGATCTAAACATAGAAAATATGTTTTTAAATGAAGCACCCAAATCCAAAGTTGGTCGCCGTTGCTTATGGATCATTAAAATGATCTGTGATATAAAAAAATAAGATCACTTCATGCAACTTTACTTTTTTAGAGTACCATGGTTAATATTCTACGTTAAGCCAAGCGACAAACTATTAAATAGGTAAGTATATTCGAAGCGACCTTCTGGCGGCATATTAGTCAACAGTATCCTATGAGCACAATAAACGTGGCCTTTCACATTATTATCTGTGAATAATTTTAAATTTGAGAACTTTTCCACTTGCGGAAATCACAAAAAAATCCTGAAGACAATAACTTCGACATCCCCAATGCCAATATTTATTGTTAAAATTTGGGTGCACATGCTTTGTGAGAGACAGGAAGTTGTTCTCGATAAATGGAGTGTATTTCAAAGGGATTTTAGATTATTAGCAAGCATAATAAAATTTATAAGAAGATTCGCTTCCTTCGCTAGGAAACATATTATGATGTTAAGCAGGTGGTTCTACAAATGGTCTATTTGTCAGAGTTCACTTATTAATAGGTTTTTGTTGCCCCTTTCAATAGTTGGGTAAAAGTTTCATAGAAACTGTTAGTCTATAAAGTGAACGAATGTTTGCGATGAAAAAAAAATCACAAATTCTTTTAAAAAAATTTTAAAAAATTAAAAATTCTTAAAACCTTAGAAGTGATCTTCGTACAAAATCTCGGTTTCTCAATCAGATCAGGAGGATTATAGACATCGCATGAAAATAAGCAATAAAGCAAAGTTTGAGTAACCCCCACTGCATACAATACGGAATGGCCTGTTCAAAGTTGCGCTGTGATTGGCAAGATAATTACAATTCTAGGCTTTGTTAGTGATGGAACGATTTGTATCTACTAAAGTATTTTTACTACATAAAGAACATCTTAACAATCATTATAACGGTGTAATGTTGGTCTGGAGACGCATTCCAGTCATAGGTTCGATACTCCAGAGACAAGAGAACAAAAGTGATAGTGATTTTAATTATGGACCTTTGCAAAAAATGATGGTGATTTTTGATATGCTATGGTAGCTGAAGAGGAAATAAGGAAATGTTCTTGATTCAAATAATCA